ATTATGTGTGTTGACATATCAACTGTCTTTACATGCTTGAAAGAATAAATCAAATCAAAGATGTCAAATAGTCCCTGAATCACCGTTTTCCAGCCTGGGGCCCATTGTAGGGGAGTGGGGGCCTCATGGCCAGTGCATTAGCCAAATGTAGATAAAGGTCTGTTTGTGAGTTTAAGTTTTGACTGATTTGAAACTATAAAGGGCTAGTCCCCAGTTATTTTTACTGTTCATATATTTTAAGACTATTTGGGTCAGTTTTGTGCCAGGATTATGTTCCATTTCTACAGCCTGTGTTGATGATGCAATGATGGAGCTGATGCTAAATAAACTTGTGCACTTTAGTAAGTGCATAAAGTGAAGCATAGTATTTCCTGTCCAGAGGACTAGTTAACAGAAGCAGAAAGAAGAACTCCAGGATAACGGAGACAAGGCCAGGTTTGATTAGTCACTGCAACCTGGCTTCCTACGTTTCCCGGAGGCATGTTGAGGAGGTGACGCCAGGTGTCATTCACTGATGATGACACGGAAGCTGCGTTCAGCATTTGGCCTTGGGGCATGCTGCTTCAATGAAGTTAAAGTGGACGCAGACCCTGACCGGCACGTCACGGTCGGGTTTTGGAGCACACCCGTCGGCTGAGCGTGGACGCCCATTGGGGAATTGAAGCATGTAATGGACGTGCGTGGCAGATGGTAGCGGACCGACTGGATGTGTTACCTAAAAATATACATTTTCTAACAGCTGTTCTTAATTGAAACACAAATGCTACCCAGGAAACATACCATGAAGAATAATGAGGCTACAGCCACTAATCCACAATGCTGGAAAAACGATTTACAATCTAAATGCGAAAATATGGTTCGTTCCAGAAACCGTGGGGTATGGGTAATACAAATGTGGTGAAATGTATTCCTTCTTACAGACCTAACATTACTTATTTAACTTCTAAACTTGATAAATCCACAACAAGTAGAGCTTTATCTATTTTGAGTGACAATATCTCTATTGTTAATAATAAACTTTTTTCAGTGTTCAATGTGAATTAGACTGAACTAATTAATGCAATAAAAGAATGAAAAGTAGGCCTTGTATGGCTCCACGTCCATGTAGGCAGATGACTAAAGTGAATTCTTTGAACCTGGCATTTAATTAATTTGCCCGGTCTGGGCCAAGCTGGTTGCACACAATAAATCTCCATAGTAATTATGTCCCAGTGCTTTTGTGAAACCGATTCACAGATAAATTCAGGATAACTGGAAAATCCGGGCTTAATCCATTATATAGGTTTTATGAAACCGGCCAGACACTTTTCCAGTTTTTTTTTTTTTTCTTTCCATAAATAACCTTTCCCCGGAAGTCTGCGGCTGTGGGCTGCAGCAGGACTTGCTGTTGTTAGCTTCTGGGAGCAGCAGGCTGTCAACTTTAGAGACTGAACCGTCATGTTTACGTTCAGCAGCGCGACCGGCGGGATGGAGACCGACATCGCTTCACCGGTAAACACATCGATCAGCCCGTCGTTCCTCCTCCAACCGGACAGTTTTAGCCCGGAGCTGTTGTCTGAGCCAAGCTAGTAGAGCTAGCCTTTAGATCTGCAGCCAAACTCCATACAAAAAACAGATAAGTGAAAAGAGGGCCGGCCAATACTCAGAGTGGCCACGCTATCATGAACAAAGATGACAGATTCTACTATGAATGGTCACTGGTTAATTCAGCCTCAACAGCACAGAACTCTGTTTCAGTTAAATGTCAGAGATCTATGAAAAGCTCGGTTTGTTTGTGCGGGAGCGAGCTGGACTTTTACGATGAACAGATGAAACAGGACAGCGGGTTTCAATCTGATGAAAATGAGGTGTTAGCTACATTTAAAAAAAATAACTTGCCTCCATTTGATTTAAACTAAGGGAGTTCACTGGTACGTCTCTGAGTCTCTGCCACTGAACAGAGAAAATAAAAGGACCAGATTGTGAATGGAGTTTGGTTGATGTTCTGCTTCTCCCTGTGCTGGAGTTGGATTATGTAGCTGATGGTATGAAGGCCCGTGGTTCTGGAGTCTTCAGCAGAACTTAGAGATCCACAGAGTTTCATGTTCAACATGTCATGACATTTAAATGATGGTAACTGCTCTGAATGATAGCACTTCTTTTAATCAATGACTAGTTAAAGGTAGGTGATTCATTTCAGAAGCATCTTTTGTTCCAAATTCTCCTTTCATCCCAATGGTAATGAATACATTAAAAGCACTGTCAACATAAACGGTAAATAAATAAATCTGCCATCTGCGGAAGCAGCAAGGCTGAAAAAAGCCTGATCAGTTACTTGGTCCGAGCAAAACCATTGGACAACCTACCTGCCTGTCAGCCTCAAGCGGAAGCGGCAAAACCTGCAGTTCCTCCAATGGCCGCTTGAGGCTGACTCCAAAAGGATGTCAATCCCTATAGACTGTGATGTTAAACTGCCAGACTTTACAGCAGAAATAAACATGGTTACAGCCTGGAACAAAAACAGTTGTGGTCTCTCTAGCTAATTTCCCCTTCCATGACAATTGTAGTAGGGTGAATTTTTATATAACTCACTTGTTTAAATTGTATTGAGACTAAAAGTCACACACAATTAAGGGCATGGTCACTTTGTAACATGCGGTAGGGTCCTGTCATAGGTGGCTGGCCGTTAGCTGTCTAGCGAATAAACAGGGGTCTTGATCGATTTATTGGCGACTAAAATGATTGATTGCAGATCTGCATCAACTACATTGTTAAATGATGTCTTTTAGGATCAGTTTCTAGAGTAAAGCTACAGTTTGAAGATATGTGTTGCGTTGTTTCTCTAAACTGATTGGTTGGTTGGCTGATGAACGTCACAGCTGATAAAGAAAATGTTTTTATTTCAGGAAGCAACTGAAGAATTCAGGAGTGTTCAGATCAAGATGGAGCCAGATGGAGATGTCGAGATCCAGTTGTTTCCTGTCCTCAAGAAGGTGTCTGTCAAACTGACCGACTGCAGGGCGTGGCTGGAGGGGCGGGACTTCCTGTCTGTGGGTAATGAATCTGAACTGTTGTCTTTATTTAGTCATTTTTAATTTGAGTCACTGTAATCTTTGAAGTAAACCTCAGGGGAAACCTCTTTCTACTTCCTTTTAGAGTCCTCCAGTTTGCAAACCAGCACCCACAACTCTTGGTAACAGACCTGGTCCATGTGTATTTGACCCACAACCTCACCCACTCCTGTAATTAATATAGATGCACTTGCTTACTAGCACAATTGGTGATGTTCATAGGGAGGTATCTGTTGACTGGTGCAGCACCTGTCACTGTGCTTCTTTAGTGACCGGGTGCCTAGCTTACAGCTGTGAAATGCTAACATTTCTGGCTTAACTTTGTACAAGCAGCAAATTCTTTGCTAAGGTTACTCTCTCAGTCTGTGATGAAATGTTCACATTCTGTATTCACCACTGGATATTTTCACCTCTGTCTGTCTGGGCCTACACAGATGTCTGATTAGTGATGCCCCACTTAGCTGGATGCTGAGGGATTAAAGGCCAAACTGGACAGCACTCAGAGAGCACAGCCTCCAGCAAGGGGCAACTCCATTTCCCCATGTCACCATAAAAGCATGAAATGTTGGCTCATCCAATTATTTATGTCCACCAAACACTGACACAGTATGTCTACTGGGCTGCAGTCATCTGGTGAGAGAGCCAGATGTATCTGTTATAGAACATTTATTGATAGGTTTTAGGGATGATTTGCTGCAGGTTCCTTACTCAGTTGTTGTGAAGTGAATGAAATCTCTTTATGTAGTTATCATCACAAACTGATAACCACCTTTAACTCAACCTCTGCCCTCCAGGCAGCCACCCTCAGCTCTGGACCCAGAGGCCAAAGCGAATGTACTCGACCAACACTGGCAGGAAGATGGCCTACTGCTCTCAATGTAAGAAAGGTTTTTACAAGAGGGCTCACCTGGAGGCTCACCTGAGGGTCCACCAGGGACAGAAACCCAACCAGTGCTGGCAGTGTGGGAAGACTTACCCAACCCTAATGAGCCTTGTTATTCACCAGCACATCCACAACCGCAAGGAGCCCTACCAATGCTCGTACTGCGACAAGACTTTCGCCCTGAAGAGGGACTGGAAGACCCACCACCGGATGCACTCCGGGACCAAACCCTTCAAGTGCTGGTTTTGCGGAGATGGCTTCAGTGAGCAGAACGAACTCAGCGAGCACCTGGAGCTGCATAAGGGGGAGAAGTGCTACCATTGCAAAGTGTGCGACAAGATGTTTGTGTCCTACCAGGGCTTTAACTTCCACCGCAAGTCCCACAAGAACAGAAAAATGCTGCCCTGCCTCAAGTGTAAGAAGACCTTCAGCAACCCTCAGAGTCTGAAGCTGCACCAGGTGACCCACTCCAACAGGAAGCCACATAAATGCCCCATCTGCGGCAAAGGCTTCAAGTTGCTGAGTGGCATGCGGTGCCACCAGAGGACCCACGAGGACCTGAAGGCCTACCACTGCACTGAGTGTGGCAAGTGCTTCTCCAGCCTGCAGGGCCTGAAGCTGCACAACCGCACACACACTGGCCTGAAGCCCTACAAGTGCACTGAGTGTGGGAAGAGGTTCACCCAGTCGCCCCACCTCAAGTCTCATATGGTGACCCACACCGGAGAGCGGCCATTCCTCTGCACCACCTGTGGGAAGAGATTCACTCAGTCATCCCACCTGAGGTCCCACATCACGCTGTTCCATGTGGGTGAGAAACCGTTCACCTGCGATGACTGTGGGAAGAGTTTCACCATTGCTCACTACCTGAAGATGCACCGGCTCAGCCATACCAAGGAGAAGCTGTACCAGTGTTCATACTGCGAGAAGTCCTTCTCCTACCATAACTCATGGAAGGCCCACGAAAGGATCCACACTGGTGAGCGTCCATTCAGCTGCCAGGATTGTGGCCAGAGCTTCATCACGTCGGGCTCACTACTGAGCCACCAGAGATCCAAACACACCGGAGAGAAGAACCACTACTGCTTCACCTGTGGGGAGTTCTTTTTCACCAGCTCGCTGCTACGGATCCACCAGCTCGACCATACAGGCGAGCGGCCACATGCCTGCAGTTGTGGCAAGACCTTTAAGACCAAGGGGGTGCTGCGCTACCATCTGAAAAGGTTCACCGACCACCAACTGGCCAACTGAGTCTGCCACAAAACTAACTGTGACCGCCTCTGCTGACGGAGATCTTCAGACTGTGAGGCCTCCATTGGGGGAAGGGGCTGTGGGTTTAGGGCTGGGGGACAGGTGTAGTTACTGTAGTTTAGCTGCTCATCACACAGTCAGCTGTACCCGACACTTTAAAACACTTGACAAGCCATGTCGATGCTGGTTTGTCTTGACTTCTCAGAGTCCAAATGTGACCACATACAGTATTGTTCAAAATAATAGCAGTACAATGTGACTAACCAGAATAATCCAGGTTTTTAGTATATTTTTTTATTGCTACATGGCAAACAAGTTACCAGTAGGTGCAGTAGATTCTCAGAAAGCAAACAAGACCCAGCATTCATGATATGCACGCTCTTAAGGCTGTGCAATTGGGCAATTAGTTGAAAGGGGTGTGTTAAAAAAATAGCAGTGTGGCATTCAATCAGTGAGGTCATCAATTTTGTGAAATAACAGGTGTGAATCAGGTGGCCCCTATTTAAGGATGAAGCCAGCACTTGTTGAACATGCATTTGAAAGCCTGAGGAAAATGGGTCGTTCAAGACATTGTTCAGAAGAACAGCGTACTTTGATTAAAAAGTTGATTGGAGAGGGGAAAACCTATAAAGAGGTGCAAAAAATTATAGGCTGTTCAGCTAAAATGATCTCCAATGCCTTAAAATGGAGAGCAAAACCAGAGAGACGTGGAAGAAAACGGAAGACAACCATCAAAATGGATCGAAGAATAACCAGAATGGCAAAGGCCCAGCCAATGATCAGCTCCAGGATGATCAAAGACAGTCTGGAGTTACCTGTAAGTACTGTGACAGTTAGAAGACGTCTGTGTGAAGCTAATCTATTTTCAAGAATCCCCCGCAAAGTCCCTCTGTTAAAAAAAAGGCACGTGCAGAAGAGGTTACAATTTGCCAAAGAACACATCAACTGGCCTAAAGAGAAATGGAGGAACATTTTGTGGACTGATGAGAGTAAAATTGTTCTTTTTGGGTCCAAGGGCCACAGACAGTTTGTGAGACGCCCCCCAAACTCTGAATTCAAGCCACAGTGAAGACAGTGAAGCATGGTGGTGCAAGCATCATGATATGGGCATGTTTCTCCTACTATGGTGTTGGGCCTATTTATCGCATACCAGGGATCATGGATCAGTTTGCATATGTCAAAATACTTGAAGAGGTCATGTTGCCTTATGCTGAAGAGGACATGCCCTTGAAATGGTTGTTTCAACAAGACAATGACCCCAAACACACTAGTAAACGAGCAAAGTCTTGGTTCCAAACCAACAAAATTAATGTTATGGAGTGGCCAGCCCAATCCCCGGACCTTAATCCAATCGAGAACTTGTGGGGTGATATCAAAAATGCTGTTTCTGAAGCAAAACCAAGAAATGTAAATGAATTGTGGAATGTTGTTAAAGAATCATGGAGTGTAATAACAGCTGAAAGGTGCCACAAGTTGGTTGACTCCATGCCACACAGATGTGAAGCAGTTATAACAAACTGTGGTCATACAACTAAATATTAGTTTAGTGATTCACAGGATTGCTAAATCCTAGAAACAAAAACGTTTGTACAACATAGTTTTGTGTTTGTACAGTCAACGGCAGACACTGCTATTTTTTTGAACACACCCCTTTCAACTAATTGCCCAATTGCACAGCCTTAAGAGCGCGCATATCATGAATGCTGGGTCTTGTTTGCTTTCTGAGAATCTACTGCACCTACTGGTAACTTGTTTGCCATGTAGCAATAAAAAATATACTAAAAACCTGAATTATTCTGGTTAGTCACATTGTACTGCTATTATTTTGAACAATACTGTACACATATGAAACACATGCTGATCAGAGTCAGTGTGACATCCACATCCTGAGGAGCTCATCATCTATGATATCCCTCCAGAGCAAACCTCCATAGATACAAAAAGAAACCAGGGGAGAAGAGGCTGCAGAACCTGCCTGAGAATCCTCCTGTTTCTAAGGTTCCTTCACAGAAGGGATGAGCCGATGGAGGATGCTGTTGTCAGTCTCTGATGGCTGATGGGCATCACAGTGGTGAACGCTGCTTTTGGTCACACTTGATAAACAGCAGGGTCGTATCAGTTGTCGCTAACTAAAGTAAGCTCCGTGACTTAAACTGATGGCAGGGCAAAAAGCTTGTTGTTGGGATTGTGACCGCACTGCAGCTGGTGGAGAAACAGACAACACCACTGTCTACTGTTGGCTCAATATTGTTTATGAGGTAGAGGCATCACTCGGTAACTCCACTGAATAATCCCAGTGAACTGAGTGTTTCTGTAGTTCTGACAACTCCAACAGAACAAGACGTCTATTCAGTGTGACTCTTTGTTCTAAAAAATATGTGTTGTCTAGTCTGTCAGAAAATCAACTGGCATGAATTTCATTGATGATTTCGACCACATTAACATCGGCATTTAAATGCAAAAGAGTGACGGGAACATATTTCTGAGCATTTAACAATCAGTAAAAGACAGCTGCTGATTTTAATTGCGACCTATTTAAATTAATGATATGTAATGTCGGGCTGCCGTACGGATTTGTCAGGATAACGAGACAGGCAGCTCACTGGTATCTCTGTTGAAACAATGCTCTTATAGGAAGGTTTATCTTCTGAGACATGGTTATAGCCAAGTTTAGCACCAAGCTGAAGCTTCTCCCGTCAGTTAACCACAGCACATGTTGTTACATTTGATGTGTGCCAACATGCACTACTAAAGAATATAACAATATATATATTTATGATTGCTCTTATTTATAATTTCTCATTGAAATGTTTTCAAAGCACATTTTTGTTAGTTTCCTAGTCCCGGTCAGATGGATGCATGTCACAGAAACAGTCGGTAAACAGCTGTGTGTTACACTTTAACAGAGATGGGTAAACAAACCTGATGCACATAGGCAAAACCAGCCACACGCTCATAACCGTTAAAGACTTTTCTCTTATAAAAGTCGACCATGATGTTTGACAACACTACCAACAAAGTACAAATCTCATCTTTTGTGTGTCTGGTCCCAGTGGGCTTTGTCTGCTTCTCCTCGTTCAGGGCAACATTTAGCTAAATAGCGTCATCAGACCTTATGCATCTATGTATCGTCAGTGAAACTGTTGAAGTGGGTACCACCCCAACCACAGGGGGCAGTACTGAGCAAACTGCTGCTTGGCACCAAAATGAGCAGAAGACGTCAAACTACCGGCTGTGGCTGCCTTCTATTGTGATGCACACTGGCTGATGAAAAATAGAATAAAATAAAAACAAAGGCTCGATTAGAAGAGTCTAAGTCCACTGACATGTCTCTGGACTTGTGACTCGACTAGTCGACTTTCAGGGGACGGCCCTAGATGGCAGTACGGTGATCCGATCTTTATATTAGATGAGAGCGAATCTTGCACTTTAATTAGGGCTTTGTTTTTTAAAACCCGAAGTACTGCCAGATGGGCGAAGGGGTACTTTTAAGTGCAAATGCCCCTGCAGTTGCCGCCAGTATCACCGTCGACCATGATGTTTGTCTGTAGAAATCTTCATCTGCTAATTCAATAGACATCACCAATCGCTATATCACAGTAATCCAGTGTTTGTACATCTGTGGGCTCACTGCACTCAGGAGCTGGTGGAGAAGCTTTGACACTACTTGTGAACAGATATTTGATAAAAACACAGGGCTAATGTTGTAGCTCATGGCTAACTCACTGCCTTGGTGGCAACATTATATAGCTCATGTACAGCTTCCAAAGTATTATGGGGAAATGGAGTTCCAAAATTTGGAGCATGGTTATCCCCCAAATAAAAGTGAGATAATCCAAGTATAGTGCTAGTTTTTATGTTGCAGTACCTACATGTATACATCAGTAAAGCTCAGCGGGGGTATTCCAGAGAGCTGATTCAATATAACCCCGCCTTTCACCCGATGCCGGCTGGGATTCAGTCCCCCCGCGACCCCATTCGGGACTAAGCGGTATAGAAAATGAGATGAGATGATTCAACATACTCTGAAGATAACCAGACCAACCCTGAGATGGGAAACTCTGGGTTTTAGTTTCCAGATAATGACGAGGTGATTCACTCAAAGTTCTTATAAAAAGCCTTCAGTGGTGCTTTAGTATTACGATTCCCCATGGCAATGGCTAAATAAAGAGCAGAGCTGCCATTTTCATCTGGTAGAGCTGCAAATAATGTGTGACATTACTGCACATTTATCTTCAAACAACAGCAGTGAATGATGTTCAACTGAATTATGTGCAGTGCAGTGATGAGTCAGGCTCTGACATACAGTAGTTGAAAGGTTTGGTCAGTTTTCAGAATTTACAGGTTTTTCTTACTCCAGTGTGTCTGATCTTTAACCCAAAGTTGCTTTACAGACCAGGTGTTTTTGTGGGTTTGTTTTTCAGACCCAGCTGAGGAGACAAAAAAAAATGCTCATAGAAACATGAGGAACCAACTTGATATTCACAGTCACACACTCAGACACTCTGAATTTGTGCCGACTGACAGAAAATGAAATGAATGGACAGCTGCTCCTCATTGGTGTGTAAAGGTCTTGGATGAGATGAACTCAACTGACCTCACCTGAGTCCATTACAACACAAAAAGAAGAAATAATGTTACTCAAAATGTTCCAGCCAATCATCTCTTCACTTTCCTTTGGAGCCATCCATAGGTTGCAGAGCAGCAGGAAGATGACAACTTGTTTTGGTGTCAGACCCTAAGTTTAGGACCTGGACTAGACTCAGGACTGTGAATTGAGACTCGTCCTCCTGTGGTCTGTTATGGCATAGTACTGGATGTATCATGAAAAATGGAGTCATGTTTTCTTCCTGTGATGAAATAAGACCTGATGCTTCACCCTGTTTTCCTCTTTCACAATAAAAGACTCAAACATGTGTCTGTTTCCCTCAGTGTCTCTAATCTGTTTCATCCAGGACCAGTTTTCAGGGTCATAATTAGATCCTGGCTGTGAGTCTGGATTTACTTCAGAGGAAGGTTTACTTTCCTTTCATTCACAGGTCAGATTTTGTTTATCCCAGATAAAGTCTGTTGGCTTAACAGGTGGTGCGCTGTTCAGACCATTCACTCGAGTAAAAGTAGTAGTAATATAGCAAGTCATACACTCAAGAGTTTTACTGAAGTGAAAGTACAAGTAGGGGAGACCAGGAATTGTTGTAGCACCACCAGTTAGGGATAAGATAAAAGTCATATTATTGTTTCAGTATTTAGACATGCCCCCTCTAATGACACAACATGGTTGGTTATAACCTACCCTGCTAGTTCTAACAAAGGAATACCATGTACTGGACATCAGCTCATGTGATCTGATATTTGTGCAGAAGCTTGGATTGGTGCCACTTGTAGTAAACAAATGTGGGTATTTTGTATACAAGTGTGAGAACTCCACCTCACAAATTCAGCAAGCTGGTGCTGGAGTCAAAGGAGTTTCAGCCATCCCCCATCCTCCCTACTTCCTGCCAAATATACTTAAAGTGTCAAAATAAAAGTATTGTATCTTTACAGGGTTATAATTAGTCTGCATTAACATGTAAGCAGTGTTTTTACTTTAACTGATACAGTTTAGTCAGTTTTTAATCAAATAAATGGGGTGCAGTTAAAGGTTTGATACAAGTATGAAACAGCAGGAAATCAAAATAGTCATCAAAAGTACAAGTACTCAAAACTGTAGCTTACTTGACTAAATGTACTGTACAAAGGGTAATAGAAATAAAACTTCCAAATTAAAATAACAAAAACATTGAAATAGATAATTTGTAAAAATCTAAAAAAAAATGTTATAAAGACTTGTGGAGTTTATCGTAATGGTTTGCATGTGTTTTAAAAAATAAAGATTAGTTACTGATTTTAATGAAACCATGGAATTATGAATTATTTAAACTAAGTGAAATTTGTAGACGTGATTGTGCCGTAGTATAACAAAGTTTAGCATTTATTTTTGAAACAATAGGTCATAAACTAAGAAACAAATTTTTATTAACCTTAATGATTAATTTTAAGTTCAGTGTGAGCTGTGAAAAAACTGTCAACATTCACATTTTTTTCCTCCCTCTGATTTTATTGTGAAGGCGAGGCGTTACACCTCGTCACTTCCGGAGGTTATATAAACAGTAAAGATGGCAGCTACGTGTGTTTCCCGTGGTGTTCTCTGTCAGGCTTTGAGCAGGTGCAGGTGTTCAGGAGGAAACCTGAGGCAGATCTCAGCGAGAGACCTGGACCTGAACCACAGGTCAGTCTCTGTCCTGTACGTGTGTAGTGCGCACACAGCAGGAGGCTACAGGTCCAGGTGTGTATCTGTTCCAGTCAAAGGGTGTTTCCATTATTTTGTTAACCGGATAAATATCTGAACAGTGGATAGGAATGAAGCTAAATGATTTATTATCCTTCATGCCATTTTTGCCAAATCACAGCTGGATTTTCTCCTTGTCTCTTTTGTTTTTCTATACTAAAACCTGTCAGACAGCAGAGTGGTCAGTCTGTCACATCAGAATCTGTGGCAGGAAAACGCTTGGCCTGCTGGGAAAAAGTGAGCAGACCTGACTTTACTGGGGAAAACTTCCAGAGCGCACAGGGTGGAGGAAGAGGAGGAAGAATACTGTGGGTAGCAGTTGGTCAGTTTAGTTCCACTGAGCTCCAGTCTGACATCTCCAGATTTTATACTTCACAGGACATTGCATTGTTGTGTGTTTACTTATTATCATTACTTGCAGGACTTGTCTTTCATATGAAACTCAAGTTGGAATCTTGCAGATTTTGTGTTATAGGTCTTAATTCTACACACTAAAATCCAGTCAGAAATTCACAGATTTTCATGTTCTGTTCCACCACATCACTGCAACGTCTTGCTGTGTGTGTGTGTGTGTGTGTGTGTGTGTGTGTGTGCGTGCGTATGTACGTACGTACAGCCTTCTCTCTGTTCAACAGTTCTGATGAAGACCAACAAGATGAAGCACAGAGAAAAGAGGATGAGATCATCCTGCTGCTGAAGAAGGCCAAGGTCCCAGAACCTGTAGTTAGTTAGTGTCATACACATACGAGTGTCCTTGTGAACACACAGGTGCATAAAGATAAAACATGGGGTTTTAAATTATCATGTGACAAACACACATAAAACTGACTTCATCTTCTAAGTACTGAAGTATCCTTTTGAGACATTTGTACTTTAGTATTTCCATTTCCTGTTACTTCATACTTGGACTACACTACATTTCATAGGAAATCTTTATTGCACTAGTTGTATTTGATAACTTATTGTACTGTGTCCTCTCTGTGTCTGAGTACAGCTGAGTCTGCACCGGGGCCAGCTGCAGGCCACCTCTGGCTTCCTCCATCAGGCCGTCGCTCTGGCTCATCAGACCCACAACACCCAGGCCATCATCTACACTTACAGCCTGGTAAGCGCCCACACACTCACAGCACCTGCTCCAGCTGTCCGCTGCAACCTACTGACCACACCTGCAGCTTATACAGTGTGAGACACACCACGTCTGTGATGCAGACACATTCAGCAGCAGAGACGACACATGCATTAATAAAAACATTGAGTCCAGAGACACAGTGTGATTTTATTTTGATGGTTTCTGGAACATCATATCCTGTGTTGAATATCTCAGTTGTCAATGCCATATAGGAGAAATGTGAAACTGTGTGTGGACGTTTGCCTTTCACTTCAGTTACATGAAGAATAATTCACACTGAATCCAACACATCATACATTTTGTTACTGTGTAAAGGATACATAGCTGGTGATTTATTAAACACACAGCAGTGAGCCACCGTGCTGCAGTGGGTGATGGGTTTCTTCTTCAGGCCCTTCTTTGTTCATTGTTGCTGTTATTCTCTGTATGGGATTTGTACAAACTGACCAGCTGCATCCTTTAAAGCCCTTCCTAAACCAGCCTACAAACTGGTTTTCAGTTGACAGCTGTGTGTCCAGTTGCAAGAAAAAGGAAAGGCACCATTTGCAATTTCCTGGTTTTCTGCATAAATTGGTCATGAAATGTGATCTGATCTCTGGGGCGCACCTCTCTGTCAGCCTGTAAACCTGATGCTGTGTGTCCTCTGACCCTGTCCTGTGTGTCTCTCACCAGATGGCGAATCTGGCCTATGTCCAGGGTCAGCTGGACCAGGTGAGTACCGTCCAAGCACAGCACAGCAGCTTATGTTCACATGACCCTGGCCTTTTCTGGTCACATGTCCTCAACTTGTCAGAGACAACACAGTAGTGTCTGAGACTTGTTATTATATTATGCTATTCAGTCAGTCACCATAGCAACAGCAGTGCGACCAGGGCCCGCACAGACCAGAATCCACCCTGCAGCTCAGAGATGAGCAACCTTGGATTTTTTATATGTTCAGATGTAACGGCAGCGTTACAGTAACCTTACACTGACTGAGCCGGGCGTTTGGTGTTGGAGAGGAAATTTCAATTCATGGACATTTTAAGATAAGTGACGAGACAAAAGTAAAACCGACTGTGAGCTCGGCTTCTCTGCTGTGTGTGTGTGTGTGTGAGCACATTTTAAAGAGACACTCAATGTGTGCAACCACACCAACAGTAACTAATCAAACACCTGTTGAGCAAGCTGAACCGGCGGCTCCTCTGCAGCAGAGCGGGCACCAGCCGCTTTAACTTTAGAGCTGCAGCCTTGTTAAACGTTTAAATCTCTGGCTCTGATAACATGCACTCCTAAACTGTGACAGTCTGGTCTGTGAAGCCATTGCATCCCAGCACAGGGTCGCGCTCCTACTGAGGCTAAACTCCACTGTACTACAGCCTGTTGTGTAGCAGGCTACACACATTCAGTCAGGTACACGATACTTGGTAGGAACAGTGGCAGTGCTGTTTATCACAGGATGTTTTCAGGTAATTTACACAGGCTCCTGGTACACAGGATATTCTGTTTAATCACTATCTGAAAGCCAATCTCATGAAATTAAACTGTCTCTAAAGTCACTGCACTTTTATGGTAAATGTAGTTTCATTTATAGTAGAAACATTGCATTCTTATTGGGTATATGTATTGGAGAGTACTCAAATGTAAGTACATGTACTCAGTAAAAAAAAAAAAAAAGTGGTATCAGTGCTTCTCTTGTTAAACATCTGTTAACAAGGGGACCAGTGGGTCCACGAGTCCCTGTGTAAACCAGAGCAAGACTGCGGACTGCTCCGACTCAGCGGGAGCCCAGTACTGCAGTACACAGCCGAGGAAACGGGGCGGTCTACGTGGAGATCTGCAGTCGGATGCTGCTACACACGAGTCACATCTCATTTTAAGAAACACTCAAAGATAATCTTCCTCCTCCTCTCAGGCAGAGAAACTCTTCAAAGCAGCAATGAGCTTCATGCTGTCGGGAGGAACACCACAGGTGTGTGTGTTACATTGCATTACTGTGTGTCAGTGCCTTACTGCGTGTTACTGCGTGTGACTGACTCCCAGTCTTTTTCCAGGACGACAATGCCATCATCGAGATGTCTCTGAAACTTGCCACCATCTATGCAGAGCAGAACAAGTGAGACTGGGATTTCATCGTTGTTGTGGAAGGAAGCTGGTTCAGCTTCAGGTTCATGTTTAATACCGTGTGTGACACACAGGGCAAACACCGTGTGGTTCCTCTCACATATTTTGGTCTGTAACTTGTTTTTCGACCACTACAGCAGTGAGAAGCTGCTGTGTCAGCACCAAGCCATATATTTCATCTTCTGAAGGGCCAGGCCATTTGGCCTTCATTATCGTACACTTTGAGAGGGCACTAAGGCCCGCAGACCAATGGCATGCATGTGTCTATGTGTGTCTACAGCCTGAGCAGTAAAGTTACAGATTATGGTGTTAACACTACAGGTTTAAATTAAAGTGCATGTGCTTGTAGAGCTCAGGGATTGATTTTAAGGATGGCCTGTATTCCCGGGGCCGATTAAAAATAGGATCAGGGATGATGTAAGTGAATTTTGGGATGAATTTAGGACAAAAGTTGAAAAAGACAAGCCGTGCTGCTAATAACATTACAACGAGTGGCAGTCCACACTTACACAGATGATGCATGCTATCAACCTGATTATTGATCATCTAATCATCTGTATGATGTTTTATCTTAAAAGTCACTTTGAGTGATTTTAATAATATTGATAGAAAACATTAATAGACAGTAATAATGTAGAAAACCAGACCTCATACAGGACAATCCACAATCAGGACGACTGTGATTGAATTGTGGGAGGATTCCAGGAGGATTGTGAAAATAGTTGAGCTGTTCACTAGTAGTAACTATTTGTCTTTATTATAATTTGAAAAGTAAATAGTATTATTTATTATGTATAGTAGTATGTATGAAGGAGAAAACGGAGGAAATAATTATTCTTATCATAATTACTCTTTTTTTGCACAAACTTTTCCATTTTCCAGTGCAGGCTAACGTCTGAATTAAATCCTGTACTGCTGATTTAGCTAATATTTCCGATAACAGAGAAAACAACTTTCAGTGCTGCTTGTAATGTTTTACAGACTTGGAGTTTTCCTTCAGCTTGTACATCAAGGGCTGTAATGTTTGACTCTGACCTCCAACCCAATAAAACCAGGGGAAACCTCAGCACCGCTGGCTTGACCAACACGCTCTGAGCTAAAGATAGCACTAGATGTAGTGAATGTAGAAACGGAAACAACCCTTCCTAAAAATGTTGATGTCACCAAGCCGTGTCAAAGAGTGAACAACATTGAGTTCTAGTGCATATTATGCCGACCTAACGTAGCTACCGCGGAGGATTTCATGAGGATCGTTCCCAGGTGAACAGCTACAAAGAGCACACCTTTCTAAACACACAGCTCCACGGGTGACTGAACATGAACAAATGAATCACTGAGCAATCATTTACTGAGATCACTCATCAGAACTGATGGACCTGGGAGGATCTGGCAGGGATAAGAGCTCTGTCACATCTGTTGAGGGCTTAAGGATGCCGTGGCCGTGTAACTCAGAGATATAGCGGTACCAGTATCCAGTTCTCCTAAATACATCCTTGGTCTGAACAGGCTGCTGTGGCAACCAGTTGAGCTGTGTGTGTGTTTGTTGTGTTTATTTCTGTTGTTAATTTGTGTGAGGGCGGAGCTTGCTGATCATGGGTTCAGGTTCTGTACGGACTCTCTGGAGGCCAAACTGCAGAAACAGAGGGAGCTGCCAGCAGAGGAGCTGACAGGTGAGACCACACTGATGCGATATGATAGGACACTGCTGTTGCTCCCAACCTGACTGACAGGTCTGTTAGTACAAAGACTAACAAGAGGCTCCAGATAAGCTTGACTTCCTAAAGAACGGTGTGCAGGCTCACAGTGTCCGAGTCTGAGGACCCTTTCATACCCACTTTCTTTAAAATGGTTGAATCAAACTCTGGCTCGTTTTCCCCCTTGCTTCATTTGGGCAGGTGGGAACAGAGCACTCAGGGGTGGAAACGTTCCCGTAGGTGGTCTCTAGACCAGTTTGTAGTACGAACGGATTCGACCTTGATCCGGACCAAGAGTGCAATGAAAGTTTGAGCTACACAGTTCAACATGTTGTGATGTGGGCTCAGGACTCGCTCCCTTTTTCTGCTCAGTCGACTGTGGGCTGCACACCTGCTTTGCAAAGTATGAAGAAGTGTATTTTCATTTTCTCAAGAGTATATTCTCCACTGTCTTGGCATAGTTTTATGTAGTTTTTCACCTAGATAATGACCACAGTTATGACCAAATGCTCACTGTGATCTTTCTCCAAGTTGCAGAGCAAATTTATTTGATAGGACTCTTCACCAGTAGAGAACACGGATCTTCTTCCTGTGTTTACTTTCTCGTTCCCACCACAGAATTGGTTGACTCCTTCAACCAATGAGTAAAGGGAATATTCTCACCTGATTTCTAGAGATGTATTTTGGTGAACTTGGATTATTCTGTTGTTGTCGTTGTCAGAAGAGATGAAGGCCCTGAGGAAGGAGACCCATCTACTCCTCGGCCTGTGTTTGGACTCACGAGCTCGATACCGAGCATCAACACTGCACCTGAACCAGGCTAGACAGGACTACCAAAACGCCCTGAACATCTGCCGCCAGGAGCAGGGAGAGACACACCCACAGGTAGGGACATACCCACAGTTGGAAACACATCCTCACTGAATCCACTGGTGATAGTGATGCCAGTTCAGCTGTGTCCACTGGAGACACCGGGTCCAGTGGGTCCTGTGCAGCGTGTTGTCTTATGTAAGACCGCCTGATGTTGAGGATCCAAAACAGATCCGGATTCTTGTTCAGACTCGCATTCGATGTTGTCTTTGTCTTCTCTCAGACTCTGGTGTTGATGAGCGACCTGGCCACCATCTTGGATCTGCAGGGCCACCATGATGACGCTCTGGCACTGGTCCAGCAGGCTGTGGATCTGAGTCGTTCCAATGGACACCCAGACCAGCATGTCCTGCTGGGAAACTTGGCTGGGATCCTGCTACACAAAGGTCAGGCCATATCAAAGGTCAATGAAGTCCAGATCGAGAACCCTGTGTCTGAATCTGGCCTGATGTTCTGTCTGTCCTCTTCAGGCCTGCTGGAGGACTCGTTCCGGTTTTACCAGGAGGCTCTGAGTCTGGCCCAACAGACTGGAGATCAGGAGGCTGTGGACAAGATTCAGGAGGGACTGAAGGAGGTGAAGAAGAAGAGGGAGCAAGAGAGGAAGGAGGAGCAGAATGCACAAGAGTGACTGAGAGGGGCTGGTGACGGACAGACTGCTGGACCGCGAGACGAGTCCATCAGTCTGTTTGTCAGCCACAAACTGTATCAGCTGACAGGATTCAGGTGACCCCTTTCAGGACCACGTGTCCTCTTATACTTGTGAAGTCTATAGTTTCTTGTTTTTGTCGCATTTGTGGTCCCCAGAGGATGGCACCGCCCGGATCTTCTTAAATAACTGGCTTGTGGTTCAGGGTTGTGGCTTGTTTTATGATGTTTTCATTGTGTTTGTGTGAAAATGTGAACATTTCTTGTCAAACTGAATAAATCGGTGTGATGGACAGATTGGCACCGCCCTAGTTCCAGTAAAGAACTGGCTTGTGGTTCAGGGTTGTGGCTTGTTTTATGATGTTTTCATTGTGTTTGTGTGAAAATGTGAACATTTCTTGTCAAACTGAATAAATCGGTGTGATGGACAGATGTTTGTCTTTCAAACATCATCAGAGGATTGACCTCTGATTGAGGATTTACCTGGGGGTTCTGGGAAACACCGGAGTCTCTTCAGCCTGCAGACTGGACATGGAGTCCTAACTGTCCTTACTTTCATCAACTGTCGCCACCTTTAAAAAAATGTCCTCTTTTTTAAGAAGATCCCTGCTTTCCAAAAAGTGCCCCCACTGAGAAAAAGTCCTCTCTGTCCAAAATGTCCTCTCTTTTTAGAAAAGTTCCCCGCTGCCAAGACCTATCCAAGTTTTCACTCTCTAAAATGTAACGTTCTGAAAATGCCCCCACTTTCCATGTTATGGAGGAACAGCTTTCATATATTCAGTTGTCAAATTCCTTTTTTATTTAATACTACGGCATAATATCACACTGGCATAGTGTGTGTGTGTGTGTGTGTGTGTGTGTGTGTGTGGAGATGTGGGGTTCCTCCTCACCTGCAGGTTCCCACAGAGTGACGCAGGTGAACTTCCTGTTGTGTTTACTGAATATGTCAGAATAAAAGCAGAGTGATGACAGTAAACATGGAGCAGACGGTAAACAAACAGGAGCCAGACTGCTGCCACACAAACAGCAGATTAACAGCACACACAGGTGTACACACACACACACCTGGTTAAACACACTTGTCCCTTTGTCTTTTAAAGAAATAGAAAATAAAACAGACCAGCATGCACCAAATTACAAACAAAAGCCCTAAATAAACAATAAATCAGACAAAAGAGAAAAGTCAGCTGAAAGAAAACAGTAAATATTTAAAGAGATAACTGAGATTTCTTCCCAGGTCATTTCCGTGTTTGTTGATTTTATACGACGTCCATTGCCGACTTCCACAGCTCCTCACCAGTGACGTGCGGTGAGGTTGACAGCTGGTGAGGCACTAACTCTGTTACAGTCAGATTTACAATGCATTATGTTTTATATCTCATATCAGCATTCTTCACACAAACGTGACCCATATTTAATTTGAGGTTAATATTTATTCCAGTTGAGCTTATTTCTAACTAGAAATAATAAAAGTTTATGGTCTTACCTTTACTTGTACACGAAATCCATTTGTCAGCTGGTATGTATTACAAACCCTTTTACCGTTCGAATCCAATATTAAAACAAATGATTTCAATAAAGAAGATCCTTCTGGACAAAAATGTCCAGACTGTCAAAAATGTTTTGATTGAAAGTCCAGATTTGCGAATTTTCTCAGCTTGGAAATGTAATCTTCCATTTTGATAAGGCGGATTGTAAAGGAAATATAAACAAGCACGAAGAAGATTGTAGGTAGCGCAAGAATCTGTGGGCTCAC